TTACACAAAATTCTATTATTTTCAATAGTAAGGAGTCATTTAATTACCTTCCCATTAATTTGAAATTAATGAAAAAAGTAAAAGAATTCCTTGTGAGGTTCCGTTATAGTGTGGACGAATTCTATCAAGGCTCTATCGAGTAATTGTCACGTAGTAGTATCTTTGTGTAAACAAGTTATTGAAATCAACACGAAATGGCTATGAATTTTCATTAGGTAGCTTTGTATATTTACATTTATTCTATATTCATATATTCATGTACTTATATTTGTATCTGTTCAGCTGGGATTAATATTGTTCTGTCTATAAAGCTGCTCTTGTCTCTAAGAATTATTTTAAAGCTTGTATGTTTTAATTTAATGTCTCATATTCACATTTACCTTCACTAGACTTTGCCAAAAAGATGTTCAAATCTTGAGTAATAAAGCATATTTTGATTTGATTTGATATGCAGACGATGTTTATGGAATTTTTGACAAAAAGAAATCTAAGGTAGAGGACTTTGTTCTAACTCTTAACACCATATCCTCCAATATTAGGTGTACATATGGAATTGAAAACTACCGACGAGTTACCATTCTTTGAGGTCTTAGTGATTAGAAGTAACCAGGGTCCACAATTTGATGTCTGTAGGAAAAATACTAGTTTTTTTAAATTTATTCCTTTTAGCTCACACTATTGTCCATAAAATAAAATTGCAGATCTAACCTTTCTTGTTCATAGGCGTTTCACGTTTCGCTTGAGTAAAAATATGTCTGATATTAAGAAACGGGTGTTTCCCAAATATAGAAAATGAGTTAAAGGTAAAACAAAAATTGAGAGAGATTCTGCGTGAAACTTTATTTATTGAGAAAAAATTGGGTTTCAAAGTTTATTGTCCTTCCATATGAATCAAAATACACTAACGCAGGGGTTCTCAAACTTTTTTGTGAAGGAACCCTTTTGGAAAGCGAAATACTTGACGGAGTCCTACAATAAAACAATAGTTTTCAAAAGTGTTATCTTTATTAATAAGCATGATGAAGAATTTAAAGAACGAGGTTTTAATGATGAACGAGAACGGGAATGTTCCGTACTTATTCATCAAACTCAAACACCTATTCATGCAGCTGCAGTTTCGTAAGAAGGTATCATCTTTCCCTTGAACCGATTTCCTGGAGTCTTTGTAGTCCACTAGATACTCGTTAGGACAACAAGAGGATTGTTCCGAATTCTTGGGGTTCTTGT